CTCTGGACCTGCTCCAGCAGCTCCATGTCCTTCTTGTGTTGGGAGTCCCAGAGCTGAACATAGTACTCCAGGTGGGGTCTCAGGAGAGCAGAGTAGAAGGGCAGATTCACCTCCCTCAACCTGCTGGCCACGCTTCTTTTGATGCAGCGCAGGATGTGGTTGGCTTTCTGGGCTGCAAGCGCACATTGCCGGCTCATGGTGCTCATCAACCAACACCCGAAGTCCTTCGCCTCAAGGTTGTTCTTGATCCATTCTCTGCCAAGCCTGTACTTGTGCTTGAGATCGCCCCAACTCATATGCAGGACCTTGCACTTGTCTCCTCATCCATCACCAGGCAGAGCTCCATGCACTCCAGTTGGTCATTGACACAGAGGGCAACACCTCCTCCTTGTCCCTCCTGCCTGTCCTTCCCAAAACCCAAAACTGTGGAGGTGACACCAGCCATGGAGTCATAATATTAATAGACTGTCTGCATCTGTTTCTTCCAATGTTACTGCCCACAACTGGCAGGAGAAAAGAAAAGATAACCTGTGCTCCAGACTCCTTTACCAACCATCCCAAGGCCATGAAGTCTCTCTTGATTGCCCTTGGACTATGTGCTGTGGCTTCATCGCTGCCCACAAGCTACTGCCTTCTGCCTGGTGTGGACGGGATATGGTGCAGACAGGAAACAGGATCCCCTTGATCTTGGCTTTTTTCTGATGGCTGTTCCTGTCTCAGGTTGGGCAGAGCATGACACCACCAGTCTAGCTCTTTCTCAGACTCCCTGATGCTTCTTAACCTTTCTACTTCCTCTCACAGCTCAGTCACAATGCTGAGCAGATCTTTCACCTGGTCACACCTCACACAGCTGTTCTCACCACTGCCGTCCCCTACCAGTGAATGGCTCTGGCACTCCCTGCAGCCTGAGACCTGGGCAGCTGTGTGTTTTCGTGGGAGCTCTGTCTGTGCTGCCACATCCCTTCTGCCGAGTGCAGAGCGCATAGCCTTCTGCTGGGTGGATACCACAGCTGAGCTCCTTCTGAGAGGGTGATGGCCGCCAACTAATCTCGCTTCTTGAGCTGGCAGGGTGACGGCGGCCTTCCAGTGCGCCCTTCTGTGCAAACTGCCATGCAAACTGCTGTGCCATGCCCTGACTGACACGCCACGCTGTTTGCCTGCTCTGGTCGCTGGTGCTCCTGGTCAACAGCACTCCCTAGGTCAATTTTTGTAGGTGTGGAGGTGGCTGCTGCTGCTCTCGCAACACCCAGGCCACGTCAGTGTCTCCTGCAAGAGCTGCCAGCTCCTGGGGGGGGATCTCTTTCCTCCCCTGGTGTTTCCCTGCTTCAGGAAAGGCCCCTGTGCACCATAATCTGCCCCTCTGTAGCAGGTCAGGCCAGCCCCGGAGCAGCTGCCTTTGGCGATTGACTGCAAGTGATTAATGCTTCAGTGGAAATGAAGACAACTGCATCTTTGCCATATACTTACAGAAAAGTTCAGCTAGGTCTTGCCAAAAAAAACAACCAACCAAAAAAAAAAACCCCCAAAAAATGTAAGTAAAATTCAATAGGCGTTCTGAATGCATTATAAGAAGGAACCCATTTGCTACTACCAAAAACACATTCTACAAATAAAACAAGCCAGAGATATGGTCGATAATATAAAAGTTACGTCTGTTTTTTTTAAAAAAAAGTCTGTAAGCAAAGATTTTGAGAACCAGAACTCAGAAACTAAATGACAGACCACAAAGAAATGATACAGTCTCCATAGGAACTTGTATTTAGTATCCTTTCGCAAATCAAACTAACAGATACTGAAGGACTGACAAATGACAGACACTGGTAATTTGGATTTTCAATGCCTGTCTGGTAAAGGCTGTCATAAAGAGAAACATAGCCAGAAATTTGTCTCAGGTTTAGTAAAAAGAAAAGGATCAAATAAGCACATAACTGTCATAAAGAGAAACAGCCAGAAATTTGTCTCAGGTTTAGTATAGTAAAAAGAAAAGGATCAAATAAGCACATAAATAAATAAACATGATGTCCCACTGATCTCTACATTATTATCCAAATTTTCTGCAGAAACAGCCACTCTTCTCCAGACCATTGATGGAAGCATAAAGCATGGGGATTTTCAGCCAGCCACACTGTATAGATTAGTTAGAACTGAACGGACCTGAAGAATATGAGACAAAGCTAATCCACCCTGCTATATACTGGCTTGCACCCTGCTATATACTGGCTTGCATCCCTCAAAGAAGGCACTGTAAAGTAATGTGAGCTGAAAAGACCATACAGAACTTAGGATTCTACACTAAGCATTGCAAACCTGAGCAAACAGCCATGAAAAAGTCCTCAGGCACGTCAACAGAAACCTTCTGCTCAATAAACAGTCATGCAGAAGACAGAGCAAAAACCATGGAGTTTTAAAAGGCTATTTGGAACAATGCTTATTATTACAGCTGTATACTGTTCTCTTCTCATTAAACAGTTTGCTTCAGGTAAAACCCAACTATCTCCGAAAAAAATACATAGGGAGAGGAGGGTCTTGATTACTGAGGCTGAAAAAAATCTATACAAAGATAAACAGGGAACGTAGTACAGGAAAATGTTACAGGTAGCATTTCCAGGGTTTCTCTGAAGGAAAATGAATTTCAATTCTACCTCAGTTTTCCCTGAATTCTCAAACAGAAAAAAAAGAACCTTCTACTGTAACATCTGATTATGTTTTTCTTGATATTAAATTCATTTTTTTCATCCTAGAATTTTACCAATTTTGTAGTGACAATACAGGGCTGCTAAGTAGAAAAGACCAGCAAAAACCAAAAGACTAAGGCTAAGGTTAACTGGAATTTTTCCACAGCAGATGGCCAAGAGGGAATCAACGTCAATACGCTAAGTACGTTATCCAAAGAATGATACTAAAACTATAACCAGCAAAGCAGATAACGTAAGCTCTTATATAGGCATTCTGAAAAGCTGTCTTGGTTTTGAGTTTTTACCTCTATTCAGTTTCACAACTAACCAACAAAGAGTAGACTATGAGGAATAAGTCTTCCAATTTTAAAAGGCTTGTGGAAACATCAGTATTTCTACCATTCTTGGTACAGCATTCAATCATGCTCCAGCCCTCCAAATCCACACTTGTAACAGCGTGGGGCTTGTTTTTCCTCTGGTATTGTTATAATTCCAATAACATTCATTCCTATTTCTCTCAGATTCTTTAGCTGTATAACTACAGAAATCCTACAACAGCAAGACTAAGGAAAATAGCAACATTCTTTCTAACAGAAAAAGGAAATTTCTGTCTCTACGACAACAAATAAGACAATATATACAGGCCAAATTCCTTCTCTACTAGAACTACTAATTGGCTATAATTTTTAAATTCAGTGCCAAACAACAGAAAAAAATAACACTTAGCTAAGTATTTTGAGAAACACCACATCTTTGTACCTAATATTTGAAACTGAGGAAAGGCACAGACCTACTCCACTCATGTACTGTGCATACAGAGTCATAAATTTTTCTACTCAGTCAGGCAGTCTCCAGCCACTGGATGCCCTTCAGATAATGCAATTTACTCAGCTTCATCTGACTACGGGAAAAAAATCCCAGAAAAAAAAAAACCAAACAAATTATTGACTTACCTCTTAGCAAAATAACCCCCAATTATAATCTCAAATAAAAGTTCTCAAGAACTAGGTAACTTACCCAAGTTTCAGCATGTTGATCATATCGAAGTTGACTACATCAAACACCTTCATTGCTTTGTCATCTCCAACTGAACAGAACAACGCCCCCTCCGAACTAACAGCAATACTCTCAATAACACCTGTTTTGAAAGTTAATATGCGATTAAGATACAGGAAAGGGACATTCGTCATTTCAATATTCCACAGGAAAAAACTCACAAGGGTCCAAACCTGTTTCTCAGCTGTTTCTCCACCTTTTTCACTTATAAAACTACCTAAATTTAATAAAAAAACACCAAAACAAACAAACAAAAAAACACAAAACAACACTTTGTGTCCTATCACTGTGTAGAATCAGGAATATGATGATGAACTACTTACCATACATATAAATGAAATATTGTAATTCCAATTATTTTCATTTAAATTGTTCATTTAAAAAAATTGACAACAACACTGATACGCTAAAAAAATCAGGTGTTCTTCAGCTTGCATCTCTCAAAGCAGCAGAACTCTACAGACTATTATAGTCCTGCTATTTACACAAATAATACTCAAAATTGCTCTGCAATTGGGCCTTCCATAAATTTTTGACAATATTTATTTTTGCTTGGCAGGCTTTGTTCTCACATTTTGTTTCTGTATATAATGAGAAGCTCGTAGTTAAAATAAAGAACTCCCCATAACATTTTTTTCTAACTCTAAAATGTAAAAAGAAACAGTACTTCTATTATTACATATTTTTCTTACTGTAACAGTCTGCATATCAAACTGGTTTTTAAACTTCTCTGGATTCTATGCACCCTGTTACGTACCTTTTATTCTCACCCTATGCTTCCTGCAGTTTAGGATCAAAATGAAATACGACAGGAAAATGATGAAGACAGATAGGTAAATATCATTTAATCCCTGACTGCAGTAAATGAATCCCAGAACCCTTCTCCTCTTTATTTGCACCCCCTCTTCAAATGACTAAGAGCAAGGAGGAGGAAAAAGTGAGGTCCTTTACAGAACAAAAAGCAACTTCTTACCTAGGTGACTCCGGAAGTGTTTAACAAACTCAATTCCTTCTTCTATTTTTTTCCAGAATTTTACATGTCCATCGTGACTGGCTGTTATAATAAAATCTGTCCTACAATTACAAAAGAAAAAGAAAGATACACGCATTATGCACTTTCACACTGGGAAGTAATCTGCACTCTAATTAACGCTGTGTAGAGAACGAACTTTAAACTCCTGACTGTGACAATCTGTCTGAATGCAAACAAGTATTTGAATGCACAGCTTCCTGAATTGAAGAATTATATAATACTATCCCTTTTGACAGTGTAAATTCTACTCCTATTTCAGGTCTGGTTTCACAGTAGTAACTATTTACTGAGGAGGTGCAGTGCGTGCGTATATACACACACACACACGCGTGCGCTATCTCCTCAAGCTGTGCAGTTCTGCTGAATCACATTTTGTCCAGATGCAGCCAGTGGCTCTTATTCTTGTACATATTGCACATTGCAATGAGGATTTTAAGATCCTCTTTTAGTCTATTTAAACAATTTTTAGCTTGCTTCTCAGTAAGTCCTTTCCTTTACGCTTAGGTTTCAAAAAAAGTTTAAAATACCACCTCTGGACACAGTAACTTTCCACTATTAAAGTTCTACAATGAACACTTCCTACTATATACAAAAACACATCTCTGACAATGAGATACAGTAGAAAAAAAAGACACTTACTTAGTACATGCTACATGTGTAATGACATCTCTGTGCATGTAACTGCGTTCATACATCGAAGCACATGGTAGATTTTCCAGATAAACGTGTTCAAATTCAAGAACTGAACAGAATAAAGAAGAAAAATCAAGATTATTTTTTATATATATTTAAAGGTACATCTAGCTTCTCTTCTCCCTTACTTATGCCTGAATAGGTTTGTCCCATTTTAGTCACGACTATGCTAGGATTTTGTACAAACGTAACAAAAGATGTTTCCACTGTGGCTTTGTGCTCAGACCTACAGATTCTTGGTAGACTAATGCCACTCGAACGCTGCTTTAACCCATACAGATGCCCCCTTTTAAAGCGACTATGACCTTGGCTGTCTGAACGTATACAAAAAAAAACCCCAAACAAACAACAACAACAACAAAAAACACGCAACACAAGAATTTTTCAGTTACCGCCAGAAAACAGAAGATCATTTGCACCTCATTTTCTTCCAAAACCAAACGTATCCCTGTTGTTAAGCGATTCAAGGTCCCCACACCGGTATCTGATTTCCTACTTTTGTCTCTGATTTTTACACCCAGACCGCTAACACCCGTG